CTTATAAGTCGTAAGGCTTACAGGTTAAACTAACTGAAATTGTATTTACTACATACAACTGGCGAGTCGATATTCAGATAGGGACTACAGATAAATATGTAACGGGTAACAAGAGTTTAAAAAATACTGAGGATTGTTGTCGAAACAGTCATATTGACTAAACGGTTGTCATTACTCAGCGTAAGGTACGGACAATGACAAAAGGGTTATGTTGCTTCTAATCCCAGGTGTGCATTTTTCTCATGTTTTGCTTTATTATTGTTTTCCTTTCTTTTTCCATATGTTAATAGTAATTTTCAGTGTTATTTTGTTTAAATGATTTATATATTTTTGCTTTTTTGCATGATTTGAATTAATCTAAGGATTGCAAATTGCTTCTCTAAATCTCAAAGGATGATGCATTGAGTTTGGAATTGCATTTCAATTTTTGTCTCGCGCACAATTGATTTTATCACCCTATGAGACCGACAAAAGCAAGAGTCAGTCCTAAAATATGCTAGGCAGTACGTATACATGCATGTATGTGTTTAGTCAATTCATTAGACTCGTAGGTTCAATAAAGGACTCGATAAAGAATGCGTGCATGTACATTTTGTAAGCCATATGGATGCGTTCAGTCGCAGGACAGCGTACATCTCTCTCTCTCTCTCTCTCTCTCTCTCTCTCCTGCCACAATTTTTTCTCCCTTTTCTTATGGTATAGTGCGGAAACAACTTAAGTATTCGTGCTCTTCATGGGAGTGTGACGTATATTTACAGGAATTTAATTAGCCCGCACAGCTGGGACTTAATGCTTTAATTATAGTGTTGCAACTTTGGTCATGGTGTCTGGTAACTAATTCCAGAATATGATGGTATGTATATCTAAAGAAGGAGTTTCTGCGTACAGTTGTTATGTAAATAACCAGAAATCTTGTGGAATGGCCAAGAATACACAATGATTTATATTGTAGGTAGGAGTCTGGTGGCATGTCGACTAGGCGATATACCCTCCTTAATTGACATCATAACCCCCTTGCTGTGCCTCCTCTGGTCTGTAGTAACTCCCGTTAGAGGTTCTGCAGCATGGATGTCACGCTGTTCATACGTTGAAAGTCCACAGGTGCGAAGTGGGCTGCAATTCTCTGTAATGCTTCCAGTTGGTTGATGGTACCATGCTTTCCTGGGACTTTCGATGCGTAATCCGTGATCTAACAAGTGTGGAGTGGCACTGAGCCTTGATCTTGGTTGTACAACGGTAATGTTTTGCCAAGCAATACAGTTGATACATATAACTTGGTCCTCCGGTGATCTTCAAAGAGGCAATCGTCTGCAGACAGTCTAGTGGTTGATTTGACTGCCTCTGTGTGGTCGTTTACAAGTAGGAAATAAATTTAGTGGACCAACCACTGTGCCCTGAGGGATCCAGATGAAACCGTACTGTAAGCTGATGCTTTGCCGTCAAGATCACGAAGGGCTCTGTCTACAAAAGAAACCTGGAAATCCAGTCGATCAGTTTGCGAGGAAGGCAAAGATCTTTGAATTTCATAAAGAGTCTGTTGGGGGTTACTTTTTCCGAATGCCTTCGTACAAAAGGATACAATTGACTTATTTCGCCCATATCCACACTCCTGGATAGGTCATCGATTTGGGTCCACTGGACTAAGTCAGTCTCACTGTAAGTAACACGTATGTCGGGTTAATGACTGTGGATTACGTGTTCAAGAATTTTGCTGTAGCAGATGATAAGGAGACGGGTCTATAGTTAACTGGTCACTTATGTCGACCTTCTTTAAGAGAAGTGTAATGTTGGCAGATTTCTAATCCTGTGGCACTTTCCCTTGGTCAAGTGATGTTTGAAAGAGCAGTGTTAGAGCTGGCTTAAACTGCATGGCTGTCTCTTTAAGAAGGCGAGAACAGACTTCATCAGGTCCAGTAGTTTTGTGGGATCTAGGTATTGAAGTAGTTGGAGAAACCAATTTTCAGAGATAGTAATGTTGGATACATTGTGATGTTGGCTGGGTCCAGGCTCTGGCGTTGGTTCACTTGTGAAGTCTGTTTTTCCATTTTCTTTTTCTTATTATTTCCATTATCAAATTTCAAACTATCATAATTCTGTGAAACCATTGGAACATGTGCTTTCTATGGAAATCCTTTTTTGAAGAAGAAACAACAGTGACAGTGGTATTAATATATCATTTAAATTGTCGGTGCCCTTTAACTCAAACTATGACCTGATTAATGTGATGCAGATTTATAACGATAAATATATTTGTACATGTCTCTGCGATATCCAAGGGTATAATAAATGTATGATTAAATGTGTATTTGCCTTTCTTATTTATTTTCATTACTTGTACGGAATACTTAATAAAGTAACTCGGTTTAAAATATCGGTTATTAGAGAATCACAACAACTTATTTCAGCGTCAGTGAATACCAATGTAAGTTAAATATAAACATTCTGTCATAAATGGTTTACGAGAAACTTTTAAAGACAATGAAACAATAGTCTATAAAACATATCGTACAATGTGAAAATTTACATTGTAGCATCAAGTGCTTAAGTATGTTCAAACCGTACAAATACAACTGTGTTTGTTTAGTAGTGATGCAAGCACTCGAAATGGACAGAATTTCGTATAGATTTTTTTTATGCAGCGCGGTATAACCAAACGCAACAAGAGAACACTCAATTGTCAATACAACAATACTCCGAACTAAAAATTGACCAAACTATGGCAAAAAAGGCCTTTTCCAAAAGATATCGATCATCTTAATTGTATAATAACAATTAACATTTTTCGTCGCTATAAGACCTTAAACACTTATGAAATCATGCAAGTACAGTGTACTACATAACACAAAGTCTGAACAACAACCCCCCCC